GTTTAATTCTGTTTGAATATCTGTCAAACAATTTGAATCACCCACTTAGAAAATCGTGTCATGTCTTCATCAACGAGTCGGATCGTAAATAATCGGATCTGTTCGGTTCATTGTTCAACACCATTGCCAGATTAATGCCGATTGTCTCTGGAGATTCTACTCCTGATCAAATAATGCCATTTGGGTTCACATATGCCCTCGCAACCTTTCAAAAAGGAATACCTTGTCTGTAATTATGTCTAAAACCGCTTGTCTGTGGAGATTCTACTCCTTTCCCTCCTGATCAAATATTGCCATTTGGGCTCAAAAATGCCCCCGTAACCTTTCAAGGCCTTGTCTGTCATTCTGACTAAAAACGCTTGTCTCTGGAGATTCTACTACATCCAACCACCCTTCTGCTGTTAAGGCTGTTTTCCAATTGCCTCTAAATAGGTGTCACTACTCACTACTCTTCTATTCTTGGAATTTGGAATTCCTAGACAGCCTTGACAGCAGAAGGGTTGGAGGTTGAACTTATCCTTCTGCTTGTGACATTTTGCAATGGTGTGTCGATTTTTCATAAATTTGCTCCGGCCCTTTAGAGGATCTCATCTGATATTCTTAGATTTTTAAGCTGTGATACATAGCTTCATCTTTCAGTTTGGCTGCTTTACTATTTCATGCATTCTATAAGATTTATAGGTTCATACCTACTAATTATTAAGACAGTTACAATACGCGAAATGGAGGCGGCTCTATCAAGTATTGGAAAACAAAATCTCCTGCCATATTGTTTTCAGGAATTTTCATGGGTTCACGATCTTTGACAACTACAACAACTTACGCTCTTTATATACAAAAACCTGAAAATCCAGAAATCCCTAGAATTAACTATTCTCAATGTAATTTTCACCAGAGACTCATGACCAGCCCTTTCAAAGTTTCTTCCAAATAAAAAATTGCCTAAAACGATTTACAGTACGGCATTCCTAAAGTTTCTTTTCCAATCTGACTGTACCATGGTTTACTTAGTGACTTGGAACAATATATAAGATCTGGTTGTTTTTATTCAATTATTCTTCCTATCCCTAGTATAGGAGTACCTATCTGCAGATATTCTAATGTTTTTATGTCTTTCAGAATCGACAATTCCATCCTCACTAAATCTGAGAAGAAGAATCGGCCCTTTGGATTTGAGACCTCATGGTGTGAGGTCGGTTTTGGCCTGATTGTTTTTAGGCAAGACTTTTTGGAATTTTGTGCCAGGGAAACTCAAGTCAGACTAATTTCTTGTTGATCATTGGCTAGAGTTGACCCTTGGTCATTTCGGATTTTGTTTCGGTAAGTTTTGAGATTTTCTTCAGGAATTATTAATCTACAACACGTGTTTCATTTCTTCAATAGGATCTTTCCGAGCAGCTTTTAGAAGTTTAAGACTTCACTTTTGGCCTGAAGTATCCCTCAGTTAGAGGTAAGAATGTTTGGGGCTCGATCTGTTTTTTATACGAACATCAATATAGGGTTCTAGGCTGTATCTAGAGGATTCTAGGCTGTATCTAGACAGGATTCTAGGCTGTATCTAGACAGCTTCTAGGCTGTATTTGACGGATTCTTGGCTGGATCTAGATTCCTCTTTGATAGCCTCTCTTCAGCAACCTTTTTGGTACCACTCTGATAGAACCACATTGAGATCTACGTTAAACAGATAAAACGTGGATAGGACTTCCATAGGACTCACTCGCTATACCATAGTCTGGAGCAAACTTAGAATTGCTAGCTGCTTCTGTCTGGATCTACAGTGAGACCAAACATTCTACCCAATTCCTCCAAATTTTCACACGCTCAACTGCTTCAAGTAGGTACTTCATATATACAATCTTCTCTAAGTGAGTTGTTTTCCATCCACTGCAAAATTCACAATGTCCAATGCGAAACAATTTCTCGCAGAAGGTGGAACGCTCAATAATTTCACAGGGATCGGGTTTTACGCCTTCTGGGGTAACAACATGTCCTAAATAGGCGACTTCTCTTTGTAAGAATTCGCTCTTATCAAGTTGTATTTTGAAATTGGAGTCTCTAATTCATTGAAAAACGGCTTTTATGTTGTTGATGTGTTCTCGCAATGACGACGTCGAGAATATTATGATGTCATCTAAATACACTAAACACTTTTAATTTTGTATCCCTCTAAGTATTGTGTCCATTACGCTCTGGAATGTGGCTGGAGCGTTTTTAAGACCAAATGGCATTCTAAGGTATTCATAATGGCCATTTTCGGTGTTAAACGCCATTTTGGGAACATCACTTGGTGAAATCCCGAGGCAAGATCTAGCGTTGTGAAGTATTGACATCTGCCTAATTTACCTAGTAAATCGGATATGTTAGGTAAGGGATATTTGTTGTCAATTGTCTTTTCCTTTAATTTTCGATAGTCCACGACAACTCTCCACTCCAGCGACATTCTATCACGAGCAATTCGGAAGTCAACTGTTCAACCAATTTTGACATGGTAAAAATCTCGGTGAATCGACCGGGTACAATCCTGAAAAACAGTGGAGATTATCGCAATATCTTACAGACATTTTCTGGAAGAGGTATCTAAAAGAATATTTAACATATCAAGTTGGTATTGAGAGAGTTCTTAGTTCTCTACAAAATCTGACTTTTTTTCATCAGTTAAACAATAGATGTATGTAACTAAACTAGAGACTCTGAGCTAGAGAGCTATGCTGGTCATTCAGTATCATATATAACATTATCACAATATACGATATTATTACAATATCACACAAGAGAAAAAATCCGGTACAAATAGGTACTGTATCACAAAGATTTTGCATTCATGAATATATTAGTTCTAAATTGCAGATAAAGTCTTTTATTGTATAGTCCCAAAGTATCCATCGAAGATTAGCTGCTTCAGCTTACACTTAAAGCAAGTTATGTTCAACCTTTTAACAGATTCTGGATTGTAGTACCTTAGTCCTTTTGACAAGATGCTGCGTTGGCCAGTTGTAGTGTTCATTGCCGACGGTTTTAAGTTTTCATTGAGTCTGGTATTGTGGTTGGCTGGAATGAGACTTATTGTAGAGTGAATATTGCAAGTCTTGCAAAAATGGATAAAGATGCATGATCTTGACATAGCTGGGAGCAAGGAAATGGGCCTGTAGTTGTTTGGTTCTGTGCATCGTCACCCTTAAACAAATGGCATAGGCGCCGGAACCATGGGGGCAATGGGGGCAATGGGGGCAATGGGGGCAATGGGGGCAATGGGGGCAATGGGGGCAATGGGGGCAATGGGGGCAATGGGGGCAATGGGGGCAATGGGGGCAATGGGGGCAATAGGGGCAATGGGGGCAATGGGGGAATGGGGGCTTGAGCCCCCGTAGTGAATGTGCTATGGGGGCGGAGCCCCCATAGTGATTTTGGTATTTTATGTAGTGGATAGATACAAAAATGTTGTATATATATACAATGTAACTATTTATTTTTATATGGAACAGTGACCTCCTCTGTAGTCACAGGTTCCCATCGATTTACATAGGCAGTAGAAGTTGGTTGGAGTTGAGGGGAAAACATTGTTAGGGGGATGTTTTTGGCTAATTTTGCAGCAATTCCGGAAAAGTATTGGCTTAGCAAGTTGGCAATATCCTGTGGGTTTTGCCCAGTGTGTCCCACAACTCCCACATGTACTAACTTGGGTAGCAAGCGGTCTTTCCTGGGTTTGGAGTTGTTGATTATAGTGTTTAGTGTTCTCCATATATGTTTAACACATATACAGTTATTTTCTATATTCTTTTTGGGTTGATTTGTAAAGTTCAATTAAATAAGCACTGTGTGGAAACATTTTGTTGTGAAAATCCCGCCTCCTCATCAATTTGAGGTGTCTCATATTATACCAAGGAGAACTTGAAAATGATTCATAATTATTATACACATTACCAGGGAAGTTTTCCATAAAATTTCCATATTTCAAAAATTCCAGTTCTCTCAGTGTATTTGTCGGCAATATCGTCGTATAGTTGGGAAGGAAGCAACAGGTGTCCGATATCCCAATAAAGGATCCATCAACCCGGAGGAAATGGAGAGATAAACTGACGGGAAACGGGATGCGGCTCCTTACAGATGAATGGCTTTATGTATCACGAGGCGTTTACTCGAGCTTTTACTATAATAGTGTTTGCCAAAGCCGGGTTTTATTCGCACGAGATAATGGACTACTTTTGCCAGTGTTGACTTTGAAACTGTTCCGGCAGTGTTTGGGCATGACCATAAGGAATAAGTGGTTTACTTAGGAATTCTAGAAAGTGCGACGATAAAAGGGGAGAGAATCATTTGAAATATATTATTTGCTCAATAAACTTTGATGATTGTCCATTCTTTACTAGGCTTCTTTGTCAAATTGGTTCTTGTTATGAGAATTTGTTTTTCCTATACAAAATCAATCAGAAATTAAAAACCATACCATAAACTCAGGCTTGCATCAGTCAGTTAAACAAAGTATTATTTATGAATAGGGCAGGGACCACGCCCCTTTTAATGTTTGTTATTGTAAATTCCAGTAAGTAATCTCAACTATTCCGAACGCCATCATCTTGCCGGCATTACGGAATCTGTAAACTGATACTTTACAACACTCTGTGGCGTAGTTGTCAACAGCAGTTGTCGGGTTTGAATTTTAAGAGTAGCCAAGCCAAGAGATTTGTAAACATGATGCTTTTTTTTTGAAACATTCCAGAATTATTTTCATAAATAAGGGTAGGTATACAAGAACTTGCACTATATTCTTCATTTTTTTAAGGGCAATTTTAATAAATACGTGGCAACGGTGTCTCAAGAGTTAAATGCTCACGACCTTGCTGAACTGAAGGCTGAGCTTTTCATAATAATGGTGTACAATATTAGATACGCTTGGTTTTACACATAAGTACAGAGGATTCAGTTCATTAGCTTTAACTAGAAATACCCACGCAGTTGGAATTCCGCTTAATTAATAAAAATAATATTTTTAATAAACTTACCTTCAGGTCGTATCCTATCTTCATTAGTTCGGCTATAAGGGGGTGGAGGAGTTTCTACATATGTAAAGAAAAATCGAGTTAGAATTTGTTGGCAGTCATAGAGGTTATAAAACAACACATAAATTAGTTGCTTAATACATAGTACATAGTTTCAAATAAAATTATTGGAACGTGTATTACAGCAACAATAAATCCAAACATACATAGTTCTGTTTAATTATTGCGGTTATATTCTAATAATATCTTAGTTAAATAAATGCTTATCTAAGTGTCATTTATATGTGGGCACCAAATAAACTCACTCCTCCTGTTTTCAATAAATTCTCAACAATGTAAGACATAGTATGGCTTGCGGCACATGCTTGGCTGCACTTAAAAGTATGATGAGTGGCGGTTTCAACAATTTCTACTCAATGAGCCAAAGTACCCTGATGCTATTTTGAGGGGCCAATGTATCAAAATTAAAATGCTATTTGTTTGAGGAAACATGTTGTCCTGTTTGTACGCAATTTTTGATTGAGGCTCGGTGATTGCCAATGGAACTTTTGAATTTTTTCACACATTTACGTATTTTGTTGCAAAAGTTTACAAACACACTCGTGAAGGCACTTAACACAAAAACAAGAAGATAAGAGTAAATCAATAATCAAATTGCACAATTGTCATATTGTCTATTGGCTTGGAACGTAAAAGATGTTTCTGGACCATGCCTAGTTGCAAGACAATTTTATGTAACTGGTGCCTCTTAGGCTACTTCCTTTTTTGTCCATATCATATTTTCCATTTATGGGTTTAGAGATTCTGTTTACATGGTTATGGATGCAAAACAACATAAAAAAAAAAACGCGGAAACTAAAGACTTTGGAACGAGGCCAGGTTTTTGTTTTTTTGTGTGATACCTACTACTAGTGGTGGCAAATCAAATAATTAATATTTATTAAAAGGTTGATTAGCGAATGCATGGGAGAGAGAAATCCGAACGGACTACGGTGCGAACGTAACCCAGGCAGGCGCCTCGTCTGGTAAACATTTATCGTTCGTAGGCGCCATCGCGCTATTTTCGTTGTATATGTACTTAACTTTTGTTCAAAATAAGTTGCCGTATCTATATTTACTTGTACACGTCTCGCCGAAGCCAGCCCATTATATATCGATTCGAATTTGTTATTAGTCAATAACTTATAAGTTCAAACTACAACACTCACACTGGTTATATATCTCAATGAATCGTCTTTAAACGACGTTTGAGACAAACTTAACCATCAAAAAACAAATAAAGACTCCCAGAAAAAAAAACTACTTTTCGGGCAGACAGACAAGACAAGCCATCATCAATTTGCTACCTGCTGTCTACATGTCTCGGTTTCTTCTTCCAAAAGTTTTAAACCGTTTCTCAAATTAAGAGCCTCAACAACTTATAAAGAATTAAGTAGTTGCTCTATACATGTTTCTATCAACACATTTGACTTTTTGTTTAATAATCTATTTAAATTACAAGTGGGTTCCACTTTTGTCAGGGCCGCTTAAGGTCGTTTCACGTCCCTTTTTCCTCTTCTTCGGCGGACATGGCGCCGGTATCACAAAAAAAAAACAATCGGGATATTCGATACACGGCCACGGCATTTTTCCGAAGCCGAACATCTGGTCTGGTTCCGTCCTTTGGGTACCGAGAAGTTAACATGGTCCCTGGGTTCCTAGAACGCGCCGATACGCGGCACCAGGCCGATGGTTCCTTTGTTTGACTTGGGGAAGACTACATTTATTTCGGTGATTGGCTTTTACGGAATTTATGGCCGCGGTGAGGTTTCGACTTGAACAACCTCAGAGTTTTGCTTGGGGGTCATAAATCAGAACGGAACGATGGCTACTTTTTTTTTAAGCCATATAAATGGAAGTAGATCTGCAGAAATATAGACTGAAGAAAAAGTGCTGTGATATAATAATGGCTACATAAGATAGTAAGTATTTTGATGAAAACATACAAACTTACGAACATTGACAATCATGAGCTGAAAAATCAACGCAATGCAGGCCCGACAAGAGGGGAAGGGTAAACGGGACAAATTCCCGGGGCACGTAAGACCTGTACGTTTTAATTTTGCTTTACAAGTGTCACATTCAAAAGGATGAATAACGCTTTTTCGCTTAAGTTTCACTTTACAAGTGTCACATTCGAAAGGATAAATTTCCAAATGTGTCGAAATGTGATGCTTTAAATTGGTTTTTCGTTTAAATTTGGCTTTGCAAGTATCACATGCAAAAGGATAAATATCCGAGTGCGTTAAAATGTGATTCTTCAGATTGCCCTTTCGTTTGAATTTCGCTTTGCAAGTGTCACATTCGAAAAGACAAATATCCGAATGTGTAATTGAATGATATTTCAAGTTTGTTTCGGTCTTGAATACAGTATTGCAAATAAAACATTGGAACGGGGTTTTCATCGACATTGGGGGGCCTTTGACAAACCCACCTTTCAAAAAATTAGCCACTCACTGACAGAAAGGAATACTCCGGAAACTATTACCGGATGGATATTCAATATGCTTTCCAAAAGAATTGTACAAATTAATGTTGAGCCCCTCCACACTTAAGGAATGGTCACAAGAAGCTGCCCGCAGGGCAGCGTGCTATCACCTCTCCTGTGGAGCATGGTTCTGAACAGCCTCATTGTCCACCTAACTAAATGACAACCACTACACAATAGCCCACACAGATGACGTAGTCATCTTGCATAGAGGCAAATTCGAGAATTTGCTCTGCGAACGCATGCAACATGCTCTTCGAATTATAGAAAGATGGTGCACGGAATACACTCTGTTCATCAACCCCAAAAATACTGAAATGGTCCTATTCACAAGAAAGAGGAAACTACTAAGTTTTGCTGCCAAGGTCAAATATCTGGGAGTGACACTCGATTGCAAACTAACATGAACTTATCATATCGCTAAAAGGATACAGAAAACATATATCGCCTATGAACAGTGTAGACGTACTATCGGTAAGACCTGGGATTTGTTTCCCAAGGTAGTTATGTGGATCAATACAATCATCAGGTTTATGCTTACCTATGGGTCATTGTCTGGGGACATAGGGCCAAACAGAATACTATAAGCCAAAAACTAGACCACATTCAAAGAATGACATGCCTCAACATCACTGGTGCAATGACACAACACCAACTAGGGCTTTGGAAGTAATTCTATATTTGACGCCCCTGGATACCTATGTCTACATAAGATAGATAGTGATTTGATGAAAATATACAAACTTGTGAACATTGATAATCATGAGCTGAAAAACCTCTGGGTAAAAAACCAACGCAATGCAGGCCCGACAAGAGGGAGGGGGGGGGGGGGGGGGAGGGTAGACGGGACAAATTCCCGGGGCCCGTAAGACCTGGGTGGCCCAGATTATACGTTTAAATTTTGCTTTACAAGTGTCACATTCAAAAAGATGAATAACGCCTTTTCGCTTAAATTTCGCTTTACAAGTGTCACATTCGAAAGGATAAATATCCAAATGTGTCAAAATGTGATCCTTTAAATTGGTTTTTCGTTTAAATTTGGCTTTGCAAGTATCACATGCAAGAGGATAAATATTCGAGTGCGTTATAATGTGATTCTTTAGATTGCCTTTTCGTTTGAATTTCGCTTTGCAAGTGTCACATTCGACAAGACAAATATCCGAATGTCTAATTGAATGATATTTCAAGCCTGTTTCGGTTTTAAATACAATATTGCAAATAAAATATTGGAACTTCCTACTAACAAACAAATTCCCGGGGCCCGTAAGACCTGGGGGGCCCGGATTTTAATAAGGGGGGACTAAAAAAGGGCCCGACCTAGCTCTCGGCAGCCCTGACGCAATGTGACACTTATAAGAAATAAATAATTTAAATGAATAGAGTAAAGACAAGTAAGGTAGAAGAATGTTTAAGGCAAGACAAAAGAGAAGAGTTGAAATGGAAAAAAAAACATATTTCTATTTTTAATGAATGATACCTAAGAAAGTACAAGTAGGTATATTACCTCCTTCTATAAATAAAATATAATTATCAGAAATACAAGAAAACTAGTTCATAAGCCCAAAAAGGATCAGACAAGTATTTCTTTGGCGACGAGCCGATTCTATTCTACTTATTCTGCCTGTTAAATAATTCCTATATGGACATAATGGGACTTGGTTTCTTCTACTAATTACCTTATCATCATTTTTCGATTATCGATATTTTACCTGCATAAGTATGTTACGACGATTATGCAAATTATTTATTACAATGATAGACAATTTTTATTACATTCAGTGCCATGATGTCAGCAATGAATCAATCTTTTTCCTGTAAGATTCTTCAGTCAGTGGAGTCATCTACAAAAAAAAATTGTCTCGTTATAGCGCCATTTCTCTTACATCTTGTTTTTTTAAAGATAGCAAATATTCCTTCAATTTTCTCCACCATTACACTTTTCTATCCTTTAAATGGCATTTGGGCCCTAAAAATCGCATTTTGAATATTCCCGGTTTTTGATTGGCTCCAAATTATCCGCTGACCAATAGAACTGGGCCCCGTGATTAAAATAACTCCGGCCCTTCGGGCTCTCGTATAACTCCGGCCCTTCGGGCTCGCGTATAACTCCGGCCCTTCGGGCTAGCATATAACTCCGGCCCTTCGGGCTCGCGTATAACTCCGGCCCTTCGGGCTCGCATATAGTTGACAGTTTTCCCGATCGAAACCGGCCTGGAAAAGTGGAAAATTCGAGGAGAAACTGGATAAAAACACTCGAAATGGCCGACTGTCTAAAATGCCAAATGACATTACATTACAAGACCTACTTGATCAAAAGCGACGTTGCCATAATTACAATCTCAAACATAATTTTTTTCCAGATTTTAGTGAGTAAAACAAAGAAGAAGATGAGGTAGGGTATATTAGTAAAAAACCAAAAGCGATTATGAATGAGTAAGATAAAGAGCGAAATAAAGTAGGAAACAATTCAAATGATCAGTTGGTCGAGCCAAACTATCATCAGAGTAAATTTTCGATTGTTCCCGGTTCA